CGTACTTTTTGCAGATTCCTTCGTGCTTGATTCTTCAGATGCCACGATTCGGTAGCAGATACAAGATGTACGACATGATTCTTCCAAACCTGGAGCTGGATGTTACACATATTGTTGAGAATGGTGCGTGTCAAGTTAACAAATTTGCAACTACTCCTACAAATTGACTGATTATCACTTCTTAAATAATGCACTACCAACAGAGGTTTCTGTTACTGAAACATAAATACAAATACTTAGAGACTAGCAACGACGGACGATGAAGATAACTTGACCTAACGGTGAAGATAAGAACAAGAAACAGAACCAACCTGCAACGGCTTCTCCATGAAAATGTTTGAGGACTTCCCTTCGATGATTCACAAAATGTGTCAGTATTTTCATGCTGACTGAGCAATTGTCTTCCTCGAGAGTCTTCGGCAAACTTTGGAAGCTCTTCCTAAAAAATCGGAAACGTTCGTGTGACGATCGGGAAATATTGGGACAATTTTCGTAAATTCAGAACACGTTGAGATCAATGCTAATGGTGAAGGCTAGCTAAGTTCATTTTCAATGTGGACTGCTGAAATAAAAATCTGAAGTGCTAGGCAGCTGGTGACTCAACTCCAACTCTAACAGACGTCGTTCTCTATTTCCTCTCTCAGTTCCTCGCAATTGTTCCCTGTGCGGCAGCGATGTTGCACTTTATGAGTGTAAGGAGTGCTATGAGAAAAGAGTACTGGCTGACGACCCTGGAATAGCGAGTTACTGTAAAGGCTGTAGCGAGACGGTTCACAGAAGGGAAAATCGCAAATATCACAAGCCTCGTCCCGTGCTACTGCCGCGGGTGTACAGCCAATACCGCAGCGAGAAGAGAACACTCGACCAACAGAAAATGGAGCTGTTTGCTGTTGTTTGTATTGAGACCAGTCATTACGTGGCGTTTGTCAAGTGCGGTGTCGAAGCAGACGCGCCTTGGTGTTTCTTTGACAGCATGGCGGACAGGAAAGGTGAATGTCTATTTTTTTAAGGGTGCTTAGGTCACGTTATTTGGGAGCATTCTTCAGAGTGAATAAGTCACGCCATTTTGGCGGCATTTTTTAGAGTAGATATGTCACGCCATTTGGGGGCATTCTTTGGAGTGAACAAGTCACGCCATTTAGCGGCATGTTTTAGAGTAAATATGTCGCGCCCTTTGGGAGCATTCTTTAGAGTGAATAAGTCCTACCATTTGGCGGCATGTTTTAGAGTAGATATGTCACGCCATTGGGGGCTTTCTTCAGAGTGAACAAGTCACGCCATTTGGCGGCATGTTTTAGAGTAAATATGTCACGTCATTTGGGAGCATTCTTTAGAATGACCAAGTCGCGCCATTTAGCGGCATGTTTTAAATTAAATATGTCACGTCATTTAGGGGCTTTCTTTAGACTGAATAAGTTATGCCATTTGGCAGCATGTTTTAAATTAAATATGTCACGTTATTGGGGGCATTCTTTAGAATGAATAAGTTACGCCATTTGGCGGCATGTTTTAAATTAAATATGTCGCGTCATTTGGGAGTATTCTTTAGAATGAATAAGTCACGCCATTTGACAGCATGTTTTGAATTAAATATGTAACGTCATTCGGGAGTATTGTTCAGAGTGTATAAGTCACGCCAATTTAGAGTAAATATGCCACGTCATTTGGGAGCATTCTTTAGAGTCAACAAGTCACGCCATTTCGCGGCATGTTTTAAAGTAATATGTCACGTCATTTGAGAGCATTCTTTAGAGTGAACAAGTCATGCCATTTGGCGCTCTTTTTCAGCGTATATACATGTTTGTCACGCCATTTGGGAGCGTTTTCCAGAGTGAATAAGTCACGCCATTTGGCGGCATTTTTTGGAGATTTGTCACGTCATTTGGGGCATGCTTTATATTGGCTAAGTCACGCTACTTGCGAGAATTCTTTAGAGTGGTCAAGAAACGCCATTTAGGGCATGTTTAGCCGTCCCTTTTAAAATGTTGATTCATTGATGAAAATTCAGCTGCATAGCGTACTTAAGATGAGGAAAGTAGATCACTTATTCACTTGGAAATCGACCCGCTTTGACAATGTTGCCTCCTTTTCAACATACATAAATTTTCCTTTTCTAAGGCTACCATCGATTTGGAGAGAATTTTGTGCATTGCAAAAAATATTTATAATAACACGATTTGTTGTAATTAACTCAATCAAAGTGCTTTCTTTTGTTTACCTTGTGATTGTTCAGGAGAGAGAAATGGTTACAACATCCCTAATGTGAGTCCATGTCCCGAGGCACTGGAGTGGCTCTCCAAAGATCCCGAGGAAATTCTGGCTGCCAAAGAGAGAGGCGAGATTCCTGAAAAGGTCCGCCGCCTCTTGGGAGATGGATATCTGTGCATGTACCAGAACCTGGACATGACCATGTACAAATAAATCACGTGAAACTCACGTGCACGTACTAGAACATTCTCCTTATCACGTGCATCGCACGTGAAGGGAACCTAACCTTGTAATGTACACAAAGTGCTTGTACATAAGAAGGCGTTGCGTTGTGAACTGCACGCCCATTCTGAAGGCGTAAGCTGAACTGCACGTGTTTCAGCCGCAATTTTGATCACGTGAGCACCGCTTGCAAGACTCAGTCGGGCTTTGGGTCTTGGAATCGAAATATTCCCTTGTAGTGATAGCTAACGCGACTAACAGACTGCATAATATGTTGCTTTACATTAGAACGATTTATTAGATAATGAATCAATGAGCGTATGTAGGCACAACTCATTACCTGGTAACGGTAACATCTCTATCAAACCAATTGTTAGTTAATTGTTATTAATTATAGTTGTAAGGCTTGATACCATTATTATGTTACTTTTCGGCCAGAAGTGTAAATATGATTATTTTCTGTACCTAGTGTAAAGTTCAGCAATTCTAAGGAAGCTGTAAATACCATATCTATTGATTAGCTTGGCATTGAGAGGCAAAATTAGTTCGTGAATAGAGTTCATTTATCGAAAAACTATAAATAGGAGAGCAAATTGATTCATAGTTTTTTGTTGTTGTTGTTACACAATTTGATGAAGCGACTCTAGAAGAACGGAAATAAAAGGTTCTGAGGTCAGGTTAGGTTTTTGGTAATATTTTGATTTACTTGTAGCCTGAAATGTCAGTTTTCTTCCGCCCTCAGCCAAATCCCTTTCGCCCGGAGATTAGGCTGAGGGCTAATTCATTTGCAGAACAACTTAAAAGTTTCCTTTGTGTTTTTTTGAAAGACATTTAATTTGCAATTACTGAGACCTTAATTAGTCAGTTTACAGCTTCTTTGCAACTATTTTGATTAACAAAGGAATGGTCTTTCCTGGTCATAAGTCTTCCGTTCACATTAAGCTTGATCTCTGGTTAAAATATATCTCGAGTGTTAAGTAACAGGGGGCGTAGAGTCTGGAATTCGTGAAAGTATGGAAATCTACAAACTTGTTTTCCAGAGGTGGAAAAAGTATGAGAAAAAAAGATAAAGCCTATACCAATAGTTAGAAAGTCTTGAGTTTTTTTCTAATCGGCAAAAGAGTGTTTTTTTTGCTAAGTGAAACTTTTGTCACTTGGAGAAATTCATTAAATTTGTCAAAACCAAAATGTCCAATCACAGAATCTCGAAAACTCTCTCCACCCCACCCCCTGGAAACGTTTGGGCCGCCCTTGTTTGTCGAGCTTTGTAGCAATCAATGACAGTCGAACCTCTACTAACGGCCACCTCTGTAACTGTTACGTATTTATGTTACAATAAGCATTTCTTTTTTAAAGACGGCAATGTTGCACCCGTGAAAAAAGTCGAGGCTACCTCCCCATAATGGTGACCTCTCTACGACGGCCACTTTCTTATGTCCTCAAGGAGGCCGTTGCAGAAAGGTTCGACTGTATTAACCTGATTGTGAAAATGAGGAAATGAATTGTAAACTTGGGTCTAGAAAATGAGGCTACCCTAAGTACAGACCAAATCAGTGGGTCGAGTTACTATTATGCTACGGTACACCAACAAATGCAGAAGATAAGGGCATATAGGACACGTCACGGATAACAATGGAAAACACTGGAAATGCAAAAAGGAATCCATCGGAAACTCTTGCGAAAGAGGAGCAGAAGGCAACGTACGCAAAATTATTCGGAACGAACAAAAGAAGTGCGAAGGTAGGAACACGGTGAAAGGTGAGAGGGTAGGTATGGGAAAACCTGGCCTTTTCCAGGCTCTCGGTAGTTGGGAAGAAAAGAGTGCGAGCGGGAGAAAAAACGAGGAAGGATTTTTCTCTCGATTGCCCTCTTCTGTTTTTTTCTCTCGTCCCCAGCTACCGACAGCCTGGAACAAGCTAGGGAGAACCCAAAGGAGCGCACGTAACCGTTTGGATTTACCGCACTGTTGATACGAATATCTCAGTTGTTGAGAGCACAGAAGTTACGGACGTCTCTCGCTCAACTTTAATAGCCCGTTTACTTTCACTTACACGAATACAGGTTTCAAGTAGGAGTACGTTCAGCACAGTTGCTGCTAAATTATAGAGCGGTTTCAAATCACTCTGGTTGAAATCCAACCGCACAAAACCAAGAAGCTGCGCATAGCGTAAACACTGCTCGCATTATCCAACAAAGCGCGAAAAATGTTTTGCGTAACTCAGCTTCTGATTGGTCGACACGACAGACTTTTTTTCTCTTAACAAGCTAGAAAATAGGCCTGGAACTAGCTTGAAACTGAGGCCAACGCGGGGAGTCCCGCCATTTCAAATCTCTTTTTAATGATATTCCCCCGGGTGAGCCTCCATTGCAGGCTAGTTCCAGTCCAACACCGAGAATACAAGTATTGCCTGTTTGGCACGGATTTCCCCGAGTCAGTCGAAAGCGATGACAAAACAAGCACATAGTCATTGGAAACCGCCCTGAATTGGCCTGAACATAACAATTTCTGTAGGTATTTTCTACAAGCAAGGTTCGAACCGCAGTTAATACTTTTAAAAATAAATTCACTACCTAGTTTCATTAACACTACAACTGAACGTGAAGCTGGGACACCAAGAAGTAGATAATCACGGTTTGTAAACAATGATTAAAAAAGGCGCGGGGAAAATCGCCACTTGACACATTTCATTTATCTACACCTTGATATCAGTGAAAAACTTACCACCTAGCTAAATACAAGCAGAAACTATTTATATAGTTCTCCTAATAGATGACCATGAAGCCCTCCTACTTGAAATGTTGCTGCAACAGAAGCTAGCTTTCAAAATTATACAACTATATTCAGATAATCGAAATAAAACCCTTCGCTAGTAAGTGGTACTACGAATTAAATTTGAAATCAATTTACCCAAACATAATTATTCATAATAGTTATACAGGCTTTTTGAGCCTGTTTTGGACGGTTTTGACAAAGCTTCTTTTTCATAGACTACAAGATACAAAAAAAAAAAACCTGTACAGTAAGTCTTGACCGGAGTTCAATCTAGAAGCCTAGTCTTACAGCAGGCCGACTAAAAGATAAACTGTTAACTAGGTGAGTTCACCGACATTTACCCACGCACAACCTAGACCCCCCAGTTTTCCCTTTTCTGGCTCACAAACATAGAAGACCTCGTT